AGATGTCATTCTTAACTGTCTTACAGATTAAGGTTGTGTTCACTTTCCCTCTGGTGAATTCCTTTTCTAACAGGAAGTTACTCAGTCTTTTATACCAAGCTCTGGGAGCTTGTTTCAGACCATACAGTGACTTCTTTAGTTTGAAAACATATTCTGGGTTTTTAAACTTTCAAAACTAGGGGGTTGGTGCACATATACCTCTTCTTCTATATATCCATTTAAGAATGCACTCTTGACATCCATCTGATACAGAGTGATGCCTTTATTAACAGCAAAAGAAATTAAAAGTCTGATAGATTCTAACCTGGAGACTGGAGCAAAGGTTTCTGTATAGTCTATCCCCTCTTGCTGACTATAACCTTGTGCTACCAATCCTGCCTTGTTTCTGATGACTTCACCTTGTTTATTCAGCTTGTTTCTGAACACCCATTTTGTTCCAATGATGTTGAATCCTTTTGTTTTAGGAACTAAATCCCATACGTCATTCCTTGTGAATTGATTCAACTCCTGTTGCATTTCTAGAATCCAGTCATTGTCCATAAGTGCTTCATCAATTGAAGATGGTTCAATCAGAGAAACAAGTCCCATGAGGGATTCTTCAGAGTTTCTGAAGCTGGCTCTTGTTCTGATTGGATCTTCCTTTCTTCCTAGGATTGTTTCTTCTGGGTGATCCATGCTACTTCTGGATGGTCTTTTCTGAGGTTGGTCAACAGAAGGTGCTGGATTGCTTGCAGTGCCTCTGTCTGATGTTGAGGGAGTGTCTCTGTTAAGATCTTCTGATGACTTGTCTTCAGTACCTGTGAATTCAACTTCCATACCTGCAAGTAATTCATTCTGCTTTGACTTTTGAGAGTCAAGCTTATCATCATAACAAACACTGATTGATTCTTCCACAATCTGTGTTTCTGTATTGTATACTCTGTACCCTCTTGAGCGTTCAGAGTATCCTAACATAATACACTTATGTGCTTTAGAGTCAAACTTGTTCAAATAATTTTTAGTATTCAAAATAAAGCAAGTACATCCAAATGGATGAAAATATGAAATGTTGGGCTTTCTGTTCTTCCACAATTCATATGGAGTCTTTTCCAGAATAGGTCTTATGGAGATTCTATTCTGAATGTAGCACGTTGTGTTTATTGCCTCTTCTCAGAAGATCTTAGAAACGTTAGTCTCGTTGATCATGGTTCTGGCCATTTCTTGCAATATTCTGTTCTTTCGTTCTACAACTCCATTTTGCTGGGGAGTTCTAGGACAAGAGAAATCATGCAGAATGCATTTGTCATTAAAAAATGATTCAAAATCTTTATTTTCAAACTCTCCACCATGATCACTTCTGACTTTGACGATTCTAAGATCCTTTTCATTCTGAACTTGGTTACAGAAGGTAACAAACATAGAGTGTGACTCGTCCTTGTGTCTTAAGAACTTTACCCATGTCCATCTGCTATAGTCATCTACGATTACTAACCCATACATCTTGCCACTGACTGAAGCAGTTTTAACTGGTCCAAATAAGTCAATGTGCAGAAGTTCTAATAGCTTAGAGGTGGAAACAACGTTTTTATATTTAAAAGCAGGTTTTGCAAACTTGCCTTTCTGACATGCTTCACACAGAGCATCTGAATTGAACTTCAGATTAGGAAGTCCTCTGACCAGATTGAGTTTGTTAATCTAAGATATTCTTCTCATACTAACATGCCCCAATCTTTTGTGCCAGATCCATTGCTCGTTGTTAACAGACAGAAGACACTTTACATTCTGACTTTTCAGTTCAGAAAGTTTGATTTTGTAAATGTTGTTTCTCCTCTTTCTATTAAACAGGATAGTCCCATCTTTCTGACTAACAGCTTTACATGAACTTTGATAAAAGATTATATCATAACCGTTATCACTTAATTGACTTATAGATAACAGGTTATGCATTAATCCATCTACTAATAAAACATTACTGATAGAGGGAAGATTTCCGTTACCTACTGTTCCAGAGCCAATGATCTTTCCCCTCTGATTGCCTCCAAAGCCTACATGGCCTCCAGGCTTAAGTTCCAGGCTTTGGAACATATGCCTTCTTCCCGTCATGTGTCGCGAGTAGCCAGAGTCCAGGTACCATGACTGGTGTTTCTGCTTTGCTGCTAAAGATATCTGCAACATGTATTATTTTATCCTTAGGTACCCATATTTTCTTGGGGTCCTGATTTGTTAGTTTTACCAAAACTCTGGTTGAATTTTGGTTTGACAGAATAATTGCTACTGGTGTATTTGATGTCGTGTGTGTGCCCATATACAAAGTGTGACTTAAGAGGAGTTTGATTAATAACTAAATCCATGGAATTCTTTGGTGTAGGTACCTTACCTTGGTATCCTATTCCCTTTCTGCCATTTCTGCTAACTCCATAGATCATTGAAGCCATTTTGCTTCTATTTATGCTTTTAGCAAGAAACTTCTGAAAGCTGTGATCATACTCCTTGATGATCTCATCAGCACTACTGGGAGTTTCAAGAATTGTTTCCTTCTGAGAGTTTTGTAATATATTTTCTAATTTTGAAACTTTATTTTTCAACTCAGAATTTTCCAACTTGAGACTCTCAGTTTTATCAGAGTTAGAAGCAAGATCCCTTTTCAGGTTTCTGAATTTGACTCTGATCTGCTGATATCTTTCCAGAATCTCATTAAGGCTTTCAGCTAGTTCAGCCTTAGTAAAATTAATAGCAAAGTCAGGAAATACCTCTTCTGTATCTGATTCAAAGTCTGATTCAGAAGCTTCACTGTCTTCTGATATGTTTGCCATGAGAGATATGTTTGCTCTCTCATCATCTGATTCTGAGTCAGCTTCAGATGTGTCAGAGTCATCCCATGTGGCCATGAGACTTTTCTTCTTTTCCTTGCCAAACTTTCTTCTGGGCTTTTCCTTCTGAAGCTTTGGGAAGTCACTCTTGTAGTGTCCTTTCTCGTTGCATTCATAGCAGATGATGTCCTTGTTGTTTGGCTTTCTGCTTCTTGAAGAGCCTTCAGATCTTCTGTATCCAGAGGTGGGTTCTGACCTTCTGTATCTGGAGGAGGATTCGTTCTGGTTCTCAGATCTTCTGGGAGTCCTGAACTTTCTTTGCTTCTGCTTCCACAGTTGGTTCACCCTTCTGGAGAGGAGAGACAGTTCATCTTCTTCTGATGAGGACCCATCAGAGGTTTCTTCAACAGCCTGCAAAACCTTGGAGTCAGATTTTCTGTTAGATTTTAAAGCTAAAGGCTTACCTTGCTTTTGAGGTTCATCAGCTTCTAGCTCTATCTCGTGACTTCTGAGGGAGCTGACAAGTTCCTCCAGAGAGATTGTGTTGAGATCCTTAGCTAGCTTCAGCGCTGTGACCATTGGCCTTCACTGTTTTGGCAAGCTTCTGATGATCTTCTTGACATGATCAGCAGTAGAATACCCTTTGTCCAGAACTTTGAGACCAGCAACCAGAATCTGAAATCTTGAGAACATTGTTTCAATAGATTCACTTTCTTCCATCTTGAATGCCTCATACTTCTGGATGAGCGTAAGAGCTTTAGTTTCTTTAACTTGAAGGTTGCCTTCATGCGTCATTCTGAGAGAATCAAACATGTTCTTAGCAGTGTCTCTGTTTGATATTTTTTTCATATTCAGAGTAAGAGATAGCACTGAGAAGAATAGTTATGGCCTTGTGATGATTCTTGAAATCACGCTTTTGTTGGTCAGACATTGCTTTCCTGTCAATCTTCTGACCACTTGCATTCACTGGGTGCGTGTATCCATTTGTCACCATATCCCACAGATCAGCATCATGGGCTAGAAAGAAGCTTTCAATTCTGTCTTTCCAGTAATCAAAGTTCTCTCCATCAAAGACTGGAGGTTTGCCATTGAATCTGTCTCTTTCTTCAATGTGGTCATTGATGATGTTTTGATGTTGTCCTGCCATAGTGTTTTTCAACGCTGGATCTTGTACTGACACGGTTAAGTGTTATGAACTCAGAACCAGGCGCTCTGATGCCAATTAAAGATGTGAAAAATACAAGAAGGGGGGTTGAATTGTTAAAACTTGAAATCAAATGCAGACAACACGTTATTTTTATCTTGGTTCGTTTGATCTCAAACTACTCCATTCCACCCGTCAAGGTGATTTCGCCTCTCTCCAACGAGGTCTTAATCCACTATATTCAACTGAATACAAAACTGCTTTAACAACTGCTAAAGCCTTCTTGAGTCTAAACCACAGACCGGTTTCTCAAGGAAATTTTTTCTAACAGATAACTGAACAAATATGTGTGTTTGATGTTTTCTACAAAAACTATATATCACAACTGTGATAATACACAAATGAAGCTTATATGAAACTAGATTGCTAGAACTATAGAGTAAGCAATTTGAGAGCCTTTAGCAAAAGTGAGAACGAGCTTGATGATGATAGGCTTTAGGCGTGTAGAGTATTGTAGAGCATTAGCCATTTCACTTCTCACTGATTTGTTTAAATACTTCTTGGAAAAGATACGTTGATGCCAATAATTCCATTTCAATGCTCATTACGTTCTTTCCATTTTGAGAAGATCTTTGTCTTGGAATAAAGCCGTTGGTAATAAATCTGCCTTGAATGCAGTAACGTTAACTCTTCAGAATGTTCTGCTTGATTAAGATCAGAGTGTGTTGGCTTTAGCTTATTCTGATTGCTTCTGAGTGCTGATGACATTGTTAAGATCTTGATCAGAGTCAGAGTATGTTAAGCGCAGATTCTGTTCATCAGACTTCAGCGTAAGCACATGTATGATCTTCTGGTTGACATCTTCTGATGCTGATGTTGATATTCTGATGCTGATTCCATCAGAGTTTCCTGTAAATAAACAGCATAATTTTAAGTAGCATCTATGTCACATATAAAACTCATAATTCATTTAATCTTGTATTTTGTTATCATCAAAACTCTAACTGAGGGTTGTAGAATCAAACTATGTTCTAACATATTGTCTAACCCAGAGACACCTTCAAGTTATGAGTTTAACTCATCATCACGAATGGAGCGTTCGATGGGACAACAAGAAGCAAATAAGGAATGGTAAGGCAGAGGAAAATGCAAATGCATCTGAATTTCCTTCTAATGTTGTGCAAGATACATGGAATAAAAGAGTAGCAGCAATGGAAAAACTAGCTCAATGTAAGGAGGAACAATTAGAGTTTAAGGCAATGCAATTCATCTTGTCAAACACTTCTACGAGGAATGATAGTCAACGGGATGTTCATGAAAAATATTGTAATAAGCTGAAAGAAAAATATGGACTTTAGTTAGGATGAAAATTTGTAGTACGTGTTATGTATCAACACCTGTGTAAAATGGTTATTAGTACCACTTTAACTTATAATAAATATTATGTTGTTATTCAAATAGTTATTATTCAAATTAGTCGTTATTCAAACTAGTCCTTATTCATACTAGCCATTATTCAAACTAGTCGTTATTCAAACTAGCCATTATTAAAACTAGTTATTATTCATATACCACTGTATATATTACCACTCTTCTCATTATTTTCTCATTCTTCTCTCATTTTTCTCTCATTCTTCACTCACTTTAATGGATTCAAACAATTCAGATGATCTCTTTTGGGACTTAATTGAAGAAGAATTTTTGGACAACACTAAATTCAATGCTCGAGAAGTAACATCAATTGGGAAGTTCTTCTAGAACAAAGATAATTACGGTGATATCTCGTATTCATGAATAATGGCATAATCAATTATTCAATGAGTACTTCTCAGAAAATCCAGTATACACAAATGTTCAATTTCGAAGAAGGTTCAAAATGCATAGGCATGTGTTTCTTCGCATTTTAGCCGCCCTTGGAAATCATGATGAATATTTCCAAATAAGGGTCGATACAACTGGTAAAATGGTTTTTTCACCATTACACATATGTTATTCATTTGTTGGCATATGGGTATCCTGCTGATGTTGCAGACGAATATGTTTGAATCAATGGAATCATTTCAGTTGATTTCTTAGAAAGATTCATTCAGGGCGTGAATATTGTATTTGGGGACGAGTATTTGAGAAAGCCTAATAACACCAGTGTTGAACATCTTTTACACATAGGAGAGTCATGTGTCTTTCTAGGTATATTGGGTTCCATTGATTGTATGCACTGGGAATGGAAAAATTATCATGTTGCATTGAAAGGAAATTTTTGTCGAGGTGATCATGGTAAGCTCACAATCATGCTTGAAGCAGTGTCATCACAAGACTTATGGATTTGGCATGCATTTTTTGGTATTGTAGGTTTAAATAATGACATTGTTTACTGGTGTTTTTGGTAATCAAACTCAAGTTTAGAAAGCAAGTGATATTAACTCGAAAAATCTCCAAAGCAATTTGTGCAAATGATTTGTGTGAACACACATGCGTGTAAATTGAATGTAGTTATCGTTTTCACAATAACAACGTAGAAACAAACTTTAAATGAAGTTAAGTTGCAATAAATGACAAGGAAAAATATCCTGAGTGGGCTACATTTGTCAAAACCATTTCAATGTCGTAGGGAGAAAAGAGAAAACTATTTTTCAACATCAAGAATCATCTAGAAATGATGTGGAGCGGGCATTTGGAGTGCTCCAATCTCGATTTGCAATTATATATGGCCCAGCGCGTGCTTGGCACATGGAAACCCTCAAGCATACCATATATGTGTTGCACCCCAAAATTTTACCGCTTCATTTTAATCATAATTGGCTTATACTTTATCATCATATGCATACATACATGTCATTGGGCCAATACTCATGGAATCAAGGCATTTTTCTATGAACATAATTGGGAAAGTTGACTGTTTCGTTAAGCAGCATTGTGAAGCAGAACTCAGGGTTTTCCACATTTTAATGCACTCCGCACGTGTTCCAAGCTATCCAATAAAAAACCAAGCAATTCATCATCATATAAATCTCTTATTTATTCCATCACGCTTTGAATTATGCAGAAAGTCAGGCATTTCATTTGATTTGAGACAGTGTAGACAGAAATTCAATACAGTGCTTTTGAAGCTCAGAAATTCATAACTTGAGATTAGAAAATGGTTTGGGAATTATGCTTTAGTCATTATAACCGTCTTGAGGTCTTCGTCATTTCATATGTTCATGTTGAAGGCTAATTTTGTGAGGAAGATTTTCTAAAGTGTGAAATACCTGAAAGGCGTTATACTGTGGATTTATCGTTTCTCTGGTTTCCAGGTGTTTAAAAATTTGTAACCTCTGACTGAAAAATCATCTTTGAGTGCCTCTTGGAGAATTTTAATAGTTTTTCTATTTCCTTTTATTCTCGTGTTTGGCTCGGAAGCCAATTCATTGAGGAAGATCTCCAAATGCGCGAGTACTTTGAAGCTATACAGTAAAAAAACTGTGAAAATAATGTGTTGAACCGTTATTTTTCAGATGTTCAAAAATTCATAACTTTCGCTCGATTCAATGTTTTCGGATTGTTCTTTGGGTGAAAATCTGCCTTGATTTTATCTTCGATTTGTATGTACGGGTCAAAGCTAATTCTTTGCATAAGATCTTCGATATTGTTGATTACCAAAGAAAATTGCACGCTAAAATGGATTATTACAGGACTATTTTTTGATACTGTAAAAATCGCAAATCTCTCTATTTTTATTGTATTAGGACGATTCTTGAAGCTTTAGATCACAAATTTTTTAAGCTTCAACTTTGCTTCAGGGCCCGAGTTTAAATTGTGCTCCGAAGCCTTCAGTTTATGACTCACATCCGAAAGTGCGCACGGAAATAAGCTGAAATAAGTCCATTGTTTCTCGCCATTCAAAAAATCATAACTTGTTTGATTCTTATCGTACCAGGGTGATTCTTTCGGCACGAAGCCATAAATTTTTTCGCCGACGATTTTGTTTTAGGTTGCTCGTTCATATTTTGCAGCGAACATCACGAGCTTTTGGGTTATTTGTGCGCCGTACACAAAATAAGTTGTAAAAATATGCACTGTGAATATTTTACATTGTGTTTATCATCGTTCAAGGCGACATAACTTGCTCGATTTTTATCGTAACGAAATGATTCTTTTGGCTCCGCGTCACAAATTTCGCCATCAACAGCTTTGTTTCAAGTCCAGTGTCAGTATTTCACACTGATTATCGTGAGCTCGGGGTTTCGATATCGACAATGCACAAAATAAGTTGAAATTTCAGTTTGGAGCCAAAACTATTTATTTCAAAATTGAAAATTCTAACACAACTCCACTCACAATTTCCATTCCCCCCCCCCCCCCCCCCAAAAAAAAATAATATGATATTTTCTCTCATTTCTCTCTCCAATTTCTTCAAGAACACCAAAGCAAAAATCAACAAAGCTTTATAAAACTTCATCATCACCAAGAAACTCCGCAAGCATCTTTCTCCCTCGCCGCCTCTAGCTACCGCCAATGAACCTCCAGCCGTGTCCACCAGTTCTTCCGTCGTGCATTTTTTCGACTGTGCCCACCTGTGGCTTGAAATATGTTGATTTAATTGTTGCAAAGTGTTTGTAATTTCTAAGCAACATAACTTGAATAGGTAAAGGCTTTAATGCGTTCGATGGTGATTTTTAAATCCGATTTTTATCGATACTGATTCATACGCGTGTTGCTGAAGGATAGAAAAACACAAGAAAAGGGGTTTGAATTGGAGTTTTCAAAAATTAAGGCTATAAAACACGTTGGTTATCCTGGGTCGTTTTGAACTCAAAACTACTTCATTTCACCCGCCAAGGTGATTTTTCCTCTCTCAATCGAGGTCCTAATCTACTAATCACAAATGATTACAATTCACAAAGACAACTGTCAACGTCTTCTTGAGATCAACCCACAACTTGGTTTATCGAGGAATTACACTGTTTAAACAATATATTGTGTTTATAAATGCTTCTAATAAGCTATATCACAACTGTGATTTTTACACAAAATTGAAGCATAATTATAACTAAAGAGATAAAAATAATAGAGAATTTTGGTTTATCTTGTTTGATATGTGTGTGAGTGTATTCTTTTGATCCATCTTCATCGTCTCCTTTAAATAGAAGAAGTATTTGATTCGTTGGAGACATAATATTCTGATTTTGGAAGGTTGTTAATTTGAGATTTAATAACTTGCAGCTTGGTGCTTCAGAAGTTTGACTGACAGCATCAGGCTTCTCTTTCTTGCATGTTGTTTTATCTTCGCTTCAGAGCTTCTTATATGTTCTTCTTCTTCAGAGCTTCATATGTGATTTTTCAAGTCATTAACTTTCTTGCTTTCATTAGAACTTCTCTGTAAATTCAATCAAATGTTTAGAGTGCATAATTGTTCTTTACAATAATCATGTATTTGTTATCATCAAAACTAATAATTGGATGTAGAACCAAACTATATTCTAAAAATATCCCCCTTTTTGATGATGACAAAACTTACATATTTTGATGAAAAATTTATAATTTTCAGAAAATAAAAGTTGCAGAGTCTCCCCCTGAGTTGAATACTCAGATAAAATTTAAATAAAAGAGTAGATACTTCCCTAAAAAGATATCAGAGCATATGATGGACGTTCTGAGAAGCCTATGTTAAAGGATGGCAGAGCATACCACAAGTTTAGAGTGATACTTTCCCTGTTAGATTTAAGAAATATTAAAACAAAAGTTACATTATTTGAAATGTTTGAGACTTAGTCTGGAACTGTTTATATCAAAATATATTCACTTTCTCCCCCCCCCCCCCTTTTGTCATAAATCAAAAAGAAAAAAATAAAAACACGAAATCAGAGCAAAAAGTTATGCATTTAAGAGCAGAGGAAAATACAATGAGAAACAAAAACAAACATGAGTTTAGCAAAAGGAGCAGGAACAAAAGAAACAAAAGGCTGGATCTAAGGTTGTGTAGGTGGAAGACGTGTGAACAATGCTTCCAGAAGACCTTTGATCTGATTGTTGGCTTCTTCTTGCTTGCCCATCACTCCCTTGACCTCTTTGTTGTTTCGCCTTGTTTATCCAACCTTTCTCTAACATCTTTATTCTCTTTCTTCAATTCCTCCTGAGTTTTCAGTATAAGAGAAGTTGGAGCCATTTCTTCAGCAAGGACCATTTCTGTAACATTCTTACTAGCAGAAGATTCTTCAACAAATTTTCCTTTGTCTTGAAAGATGACTAGAGGTTGAGGTTCAGGAGATGATTCTCTAGTTTTTGGTTTGTGTGAGAATTCCCAGGAAGTGTTGTTCAAATGAAGAAGAGGTTTCCTTACCATAGCTTTAGCACTTCTTCCTTAAAGACGTTAAGCTGA